CGTATTTCTGGGTTTTTCAACTGGTTTTTGCATCGTATTTTTGCGGAGCAAATGCACCGAGAGAATTTTTTGGTTTTTTTAATCGCTCGCATAAGCATACCAAAACGTCTGCTTTTTTTCGCTGTCCTTTTTCTGTTCTTCATTTTCACTTCAATGAAAATTGTCGCAGTGATATTTATAAATGTGGAAATTAACGAAATACGAATTTTCGGCCCATCAAGTCGTACATGCTTCTGTTCATTGCCACAATCGAGCCTCGTCAGTGTGATTGTTATGCTGCTAATTAATTAAAAATTAAAATACGCGTGTGTATGAGGAGGAAATGTGCCATATAAGAGAAAGAAAAGGAAAGACCTACCTAAGTCAAAAGTACTAGTTTTAGCATTTTACTAGCAGCATTTCAGTTCAGAAATGTTTGTCAGTTGAACAAAGTTTCTTTTCCTGAACCTTAAGACCTCTTTTTCCTGCATATGCTTTTGTGTTGCATTGAAATAGTCTATCTGATTGCTTATTCACATGTAATGATTTTGCAGCGCAGTTGCTGTTGGATGCGGATTCGGCTTATCGCACTGGCACATCTGAGTCAGGCTCATCGATGGCTTCAACCAACGGCAAACAACATCAGTAATTTTTAATTCTGATGATAAGATCCGCTTTAATAGCGATAATTTTGGCACTGCTAGCACTTTTGATTCTATGACAGTGATTTTCTTCATTAGTTTAAAGTACGTTTTTTGAACTAAGGAATCCTATTTTTGCAAAGCTTGAATTGAGCAACCTACAAACAAATGACGTCTTAGAAGTTCCGAGAATTGAAAGCGCTGAAAATACTGTATAGCTTTAAGTAAAAATCTAGATTTTTAATTAATATTGACAGAGGACTTAAAAAAATAACAAAAAAATAACCGAAGCTGCCAGCTTTCATTATTTTCTAGTTTGCTTTGAAAACTAGCTTCTCTGTTTACGATATACCTTAGGTCGGTTCTGAGGAAAAGCTGTCCAGATTTGAGAGCCTCCGATACCGCTTCCGTTTTTCTTCCCAAAAATATGGAAACACATCGTGCACACAATCGAAATCGAAGAGCGCGTGAAAAGAAACAAGCCGCTGCCTGGAAAAAGAAACCTCTCTCGGTAGTCTTTCAAGCTTTACCGTTTCGTTTACCGTCACGGATTTTTATAAAGACAGCAAAGAAATGTCGTGAACCGCAGTAATTAATACTGAAACTACTGTCTGAGTCAGTGAAAAGAACAGGCTAAGTAAGCTTACAGAGAAGATGGTCTGACGATCAAGCGCTCGCATAATCCACACAAACATGCAAAATTAATATTACTCGTAACTGGAACCTTTATACTTTTGCCATCTCTTGTGTAAGCATTATCGTATCATTTGCTTAATCCACGATTGAATAATTCAGACCACAACTGAAAGAACTATCGTTAGTTAACAGAATATCATTGATTGTATTTATTATAATAATGTTTATGGATCGGGTTAATATAATGATTATGGTTACCGTAGTGATAACTGCAGTCGCTCATAATTTGAATCGGCACCATTTCCAACGTAGATTTGTACGTATGCATGCACGTTTTTATGCATTTGTCACGAAGGCTATAGGCTGAGATTTCAGAACATGATTTCCTGCACGGATCCAGAAATATGAAGTCAATTTTGACCTTGAGACTTAGCATTATATCAAACAGTCATAATATGCAGTGTGATGTCACTGTTTCTACCTTGTAACTGGACTGTAACTTACCATGCAATGAATAATCAAAAAAAACTGCCATTAAAAAGTAAAAAAAAAATTCTTGTATATTTTACCGCACTCACTCATTGTGAATCAGCAACTTACTGCAAAAAGTACAGACAAGTCAGTCTCCGGTCGCATCTTTATATCGACTGCGTATTACATTGATATTAAAAGTAGAACTTCAATGTTTTTTTTCTTCCAAGGAGATAGTAGTATAACTATTATGGCATGCAAAGACAACATGAAATTTATTTTTTGAAGTTATTATTATAAGCCCTAATCAGTGATTAAGTTGTGATAACCCTGGCTAGTTACTGCCTATCGGCTCACTAGCTGGTGAACTTTGATCCTCACTCTTTGCGCATTGAATTTGCTTTTGCTGAATGAGCTCGTATTTTGCAGGACTGGAGCTTAGATGATGTTCTGCTATGGTTGCAACACTGCAAACTGGACGATGTAGCATCAGTGATGATCGGCTACGATATTACCGGGGCTGACGTGGAACAGTGGAACCTGGAAACGCTCGGTAAACAGCTTGTCCGACGTTAGACACTAAATAATTGAATATTGGCGGGACCTTTCTTTCCTCTGCAAATTCGCAGTGAATGCTTCCTTCAGACCACGCTTCCTAGCCCAATAAGGCTGCTGCCTTATTACTACTGCCTTATTCTCTTGAAGTAATAATGGGAAAATACAAGTTTTTTTTTCCGTTAGCTACATAATGTCAATGCGATTTCTTTTATTTTCTACGTCCTGCATAGCTGCTTGAGACAATCCAGAGTCTCCCAGGAAATTTCTGGTGGCTAGGACAATTCTCGATCTTTCTACCTCTCTCCTGCTACTTCACTGAACATAACTTTCAAAGTTATTAGTAGTTCCGTGAGGTAGTTGTTTTCTGTCCGTTCGTTTGCCTATGCGCACCCAGTTTGTCCAACTGCAGCCCTTCTAATATTAACTATTCACCTTTCAAGTGTTCCTTGTCTAGGCCTGAAATGGACGATCTACTAAAACACTTAATAATAGTACTATAGGTCTAATCCGCGGGAATAATATGGGATGGGTTTAATCGCGGGGATATTCGGTAGCATGATAGCTTCCAGTAGACTACTTGTGGACTCGTGCTTTCAGTTAATGGTGTTCCTCGACTCTTGCTTACATTACTGGAACTTACAGCCAGGGAGTACCAGCAGCATAAGTTGAGTAAATTTGTTGACTGTGAATAAGTGTTTTGATTATTGGGTTTGGTAAGTTAAGCAACCACATGAGAGCCAAAGTTTCTTTTGGCTACTGCGTTATCTGAAAATTTCTGGAAGTAAATCGCTCGTCTCATTAACGTGTTGTTGCAGAGCAGCTTGGTGTGACAGATGCGAAAACACGGGCGCAAGTACTGCTTGAGTTGCGATCATTAAAGGAGCATCAAGCAAATCCATCGGATGAAACTGGTGACCGCAGTGGTACCAAGATTACCAAGGTTTTTATCTTTGTAATTTCTGCTCTTTGTGTTGTTTTCGCAACATTTTTGTGCATTGAGCGAACATGATCATGGACCAAATTTATTGTTGAAAAACGCGCCGAATGAGCGTGTACTAAGTGCATTGGCTCAAAATTTTCACTTCCGTAAGCACACTTCCCTCTTTCGCTCGGCCTTTACAATTCGCTTTGTTTTGCCGTCAGAAAGTGAAACTTTATCTGTATCCACTCCTTGTAAGTGGCAGGGACACTCGAAAGTAGCTCGTTGCGGTAGTAAATGCCAAAAGCAAATACCCGTTGGCCAGTCTTTCGACCGTTCTGTTTTTCGAGGGTTGCTTACAAGCAAGCTAACTATCGGTATGACTTCCTGGCGTATGCTAGTATCAATTTACCATCGAAACGAATGAACGAACTGGGAGATTGATTATCCACTTGGCCAGCTTGCGAAACCTGAAACACATGAGTATGTTTTTCGATGCGGGGTTTTGCTGGAAATTGCCGCAGGCAAAAGGTTGATGGCCAGCGCAATTCCACCCTTTTTTGCTTATGTGCTTTTTTTTTTAAACAGATGCCCGCTGGCAAGCTTCATCGTTGCGGAATTTGATCTTTTATAAATGATTGTCAGTTCTGTTAATTTTCAGACACTAAACGCTGTATTGTGAAGAAAAAAACATGTTTAACCGAATTTAGGAGGTTCCAAAGAGCCCAAAAATAGTTTTATAAATTTTGTGATGAAGTCGTGAAAAAAAATTGTTAACTGTGCATAAGTGATTTCATGTATGGTTGTGTCCTGCCTCATTAACTAATGGATTTTAACATTTTCGGTCCTTCCCTAAAAATATCTCCTAATTCTTCGCATTTATAATTCTAAAAAAAAAAGAAAATACCTCCTGAATCGCCACTTTAAAAAAAAAGGTAATTCTAAGTCGCCGTATTCTGAAAGTCGCCATATTTATAACGCATGATTTCTGGTACTATATCCACGAAGTATCCACTGGGTGGTGGCGGAATTTCTGATCATTACATTAATATATATGCATAAATACAGCCTTGTGTTTAAAT